CATCTGAACTTCACGTTGCCAAGTCCGTCATCACTAATACTCGCTCGCTAATGAAGGTCACCCTTCAGGGACCCAGAAGGTGCCAGCGTTAAAGGTGTTCCCAGAGCCCAGTCCTGCAGGAGAGGATTCACCCGTCCCCCGGCTGCAGGAGCGGAGTCTGGCCACGGGGATGGGAGTGGGCGCCTGGTGTCCTCCAGGCTGTGTATGGGTTGGGGGCCTGGGAGGCAGGCATCCTGGTCGTGGCCAGAGAAGGATGAACGCCCCTGTTAGTAAGTGGCAGAGCCAGGATTCAAAGCAGGGGGCCTGGCTCAGCCTGCGCCCCTTCCTCCGAGCAGGGGGCACTGCTGGCGAGTGCTGAGGGGTAGCAAGGTGGCCAGGGGCCACGTCCTCTCCTGCTGCAGGGCTGGAAGAGTCTGAGCTTGGGACTTCATTGTGTCTGAGTGAACAAGGAAATTCTGGGCTCCAGCTTCCCTGGGCCCAGCTGGCTTTCTCTGCCCCTGAGTACTAACCGAGTGGGGTCGTGGGTTACCACTCCTAGGACACCAGCCTCCTCTCAGTCCTGTGTCACCAAATGCACATGACACTAACGTAGTGGGCTGCGTGGAACAGCCACAACATCATTTCAGCCACTGAGGTGTCTGTTTCCGGCTGGAGGAGACCAGGCACGCGGTCTTCCACCTAGTAACAGCGTCTCAGGAGCAGCAACTTGAAAAGGACAGTATAATCCAATTAAGGCTGAGTCTTCTGAACGCTCCCAGAGGGGGAAAGCCACTCGGAATTTGTGAAAAATCTAATTTATAGACTCAGTGTCAGGAAATGGAATTGTTAACAATTAACTGTATGTTACAGGGACGGAGCAGTGGGTGCGGAGGCAGGAGTCTCTGGGCTCTGTCCTCCTCAGCAGCCCATTTGATCTCTCTGAGCCTCAGTTTCCTTACCTGTGAAATGGAGCTTGTAGCCATCTGTTGGTCTCATGGGATAAGAAGCACGGTGCCTGTAAACGGCATGTAGGAGCTGCCTTTACTGTGTACAGTCAGCCCCTACTTTTAAAAAACTTGTCTGTCTGAGCATCTGAGCAATAAAAGCTAAGCACAGACGCGGGAAACAGGAAATAGCTTCTTAAAGCGCACCGCCCCCAACCAACTCCCCTGCCGTGGTCCCTGTCGTTTCTGAAGGGGTCTGTTCCTGGGCACCCAGCGTTCTCTGCTCTGTTCTCTCTGCATCAACTTTTCGCACAGTTCTCCCCCTTTCTGCACCGTCCTCCGACTGTCATGACCACTGAGACTCCAGGGAGCTTGAGCTCACGTCTAGTTCCACATTCAGTGCAGCTGGGACCACCGTCCATCCTCGGGGCAGAGTGGACCTGGGCCCCCACTTCTGAATCAGGAGAAGCCAAGCGATGTCCTCTGGCCGAGGACACCAGACCTGGGTGCACGGTAGCCATGGGGCTACCGTGAGCAATCCGACCCCTGGGCCTGCTCCTGGCGCCTGGGTTCTGGAGTCTGGACTGGGGCTCAGGAAGGGGTGTTTTGACTAAGCACCCCAGGTGCTGTCTGATGGTTTGGGAGCCAAACTATAGGCCTGCCCCCAAATTCTAGTTTAGATTTCAAGTAGGTGGGGGACAAATCAGTAAAACTCGGAACTGAGTCAGGTCACCAGTGACCTTTCAGCAGAAATTCCCATTGAACAGATGAGAAAATCAGAGGCAAGGACAGAGAACCCCAGGACCCAGCATCTAATCCTTTCTCCACCCCACCCCCACTGCCACCACCACCACATACGCACCCCTCAGAATGCCTTCTGGGGTGGGGGAGGGGGTGTGAAATGTTGTGACTTTAAAACATAAAGGAGCAATCACACACACACAATCTACCCTTGAACGGAGGCTGAATCTGTTAACAGCTCTGTCAGAAGACCACAGTGAAGCTAAAAGCATCCTTTTGGGCTTTGATGTCTTGACAAGATGCTTCCTTCAAAAGCTCCAGGACAGCCCTGTCATTCCCTCTGACAGCCCCGGGAAAGGCCCTGAAATAAGAAGTGATGCCCCTCCCCCACCCAAGCCCACAGTAAGGCTTCTCGAGAGCCCCACAGGTGCGCTCCTGGGTGGTAGGCACACGGCTTGCCCGGGAGGCCCAGCCAGGGCCCAAGCTCCCCCACTTGCTCTGACCTCTGAGCCCCCTGGGGCTCAAGACCCCCAGCCTTGGGGAACCAATGAAGTCTGACTCTTCACCTCCCCAGGTATCTCCCTATGGAGGTCAAGAGCCAAGACATTTTTCTCATCTGCCGCCAGGTGCGTGTCAGCCCCCTGGAGGAGAACGTCCAGGGGCTCAGCCCCTTGTAGGGAACGGTCAGGAAATGCCACCACACCACCTCGGGAAATGTGTGGGGATGGGGAAGACCCAGGGCATAACAGTGGGAAGGGCTTCCGTGGGAAGGTCTATTGAGCCTTGCTGCCCCCGATGTGACTCACCTTTGCAGGTCATCCTCACCTGGGAGCTCCTTAGACATGCAGACGGAATGAGAAATTGTTTCAACAAGATCCCCAGGCAATTTGCACCTGAAGCCTGCATCCCGGCTGTATGGCTCCAGGCTGTGCAACCTTGGCCAAGCTCCTTAACCTCTCTGAGCCTCAGTATCTCTACATAAGGTTTTGAGAAGGGAAACACTTAGCACTCGGTATCTACTAAGCCTTCACTGAATGTTAGCTGTCATTGTTATCAGGAAATGTCTAGACAGTTTTGCCACATTTAAACCCGAAGCATCCGGCCATTTTTGATGGGGAAGGAAGTCCAAACTGAATTCAAGAAAGTTCCAGGTAAAAAAAAACCCTCTCAATAGCTACTTAAAGGACAAATTTGGAGGCTGGAGAGAAGACCGTTTCTTAGCAGCCTGGGTCCTGACTGTTTAACTTGGGATTCGTTAAGATGACGATTCATCTGCTCGGTTTGGGGATTCTTACCTTCACTGATGTGCCTTCTCACCCCGCAATTTATCTTTGAGACCCTGCTGCTTCCATGACCCTGCCTGAAAGGCGTCTGTTGCCAGCAGAATGAAATCCCAGCTCCTCTGCGTGGCATTCAAGGCCTGTCGCAGTCTAGCCCAGCCTGATTGGCAGCCCCTCCCCGCTCCGCCCTCACATCCTGCCCTTGAACCCAGTCCCCGCAATTCCTCAGCCGGCTCCTTGCTCTTGCTGTCTCCACTCCTGGGGGCACTCTGGTCCTCTGATTGGCGTCTCTCTACCTGGCAGGATCCTACCCCATCTTTGGAGACCAGATTAACCAACCAAGACCGTGCAGTATACCAAGAGCTTGGACGGACTTTGTTCCAGTACCAGCTCTATCACAGACTGGCCGCGTGACCTTGGATGAGACACTTCCCCTCCCTGGCCTGGGTTCTTTCTTCCATAAATTGAAGATAATGGCAGCTGCTCTGCAGGGTTGTTACAAGGATTCATCCACAAAGTATGGAGAATTTCCGTTCACCCCAGTTGTGGCCATTTGATTGCTAAGGAGGATGCTGCCTTCCCAGTCCAGCGGTTGGCCGCCCTGTCCTACGAAATCAAAGGCAGCCCCCTCTGTTTCATAAACTCTTTCTCCTCCTTGTCTATGCAATATCCAGATGCTCGCTAACACCTCGTGGGGAGAGTCCCCGATGTCCCTGCTTAAGCTCACAGGTGCCCCCACTGCCCCGCACACCCCATGCTGTTCTCTGCTTGGCTTTCCCGTGTGTCTACAAGCCACTGAGCTTCTGCCTGTCCTTCTCGCGAATGTGAGCTCAGCCAGAGCAGCTTCCGTCTGCCCCTCCTTATCCCCAGCACTAGAATCAGGTCTGCCATTCACGGGGGCTGGTCAGTATTTGTTGACCACATGAATCAATCATTGTTGTGCCATTGAGGGGTATTTAGATGGTACTACACTGCCTGGCTGTGCAAATCGGTGCAAAAATGTGGCCATATGCTCTGGCTAGTGTTGCTCAGCGGTTAGAGCGTCGGCCTGTGGTCCAGAGAGACCCGGGTTCGGTTCCCGCTAAGGGCACGTACCTCGGTTGCAGTTTGTCCCTGGCCCCAGTTGGGTTGTGCGGGGGGCAACCACTCGATGTGTCCCTTTGACGTCGATGTTTCTCTCCCTCTCTCTCTCTCTCTCCCTCTCTCTCCCTCACACTCTATCTGAACAACAACAACAACAAAAAACGAAAAAAAATGCGGCCATCTGAGTCAAGAGAACTTAAAATGTTGCTCCTCTTTAACCCAGTGCTTCTGTTTCTAAGCATTCATCCAAAAATAGTTATCAGAAGTAAGGACTCAGGGTGTCGACTGCAGTTTCGTTAAGAAGAGCCAAAAATGGGAAATGAATGTCCAGCGAAAGTTGAATGGCTGAATATGTTCTAGAGGGTGTCTCTCTACCATGTAGTATCATGCAGCCATTTTTAAGTCATTTTTCACTCCATGTTTTTTTATAGAAATAGGGACCCTTTCAAGTGAAATGAAGGAACTGTAATATTGGAGTGATTTTTTTTCTCCTGTATATTCCAGCGCATCTTCTGGATTATCTATAGTGACTTTACTTTTACAAGAAGAAACAAAAGTTCGTATCTGTTTTCCAATGCCCACATAAATGCCCCTTGCCAGCCCCAGGAAAGCGTGTTGCTTATAACGTACCAACAATTAAAGCAGCTTGAGAGCCCAGCCACATGCCACCAGCAACGTTCCTTCCACCACCCCACCCGCCACTTCGGATCTCAGTATGTTTGTTGCTCTTCTGTATCCATTTGTGTCTAAACATGAGCGTGAGCTGCATCCTGGTTTGCTTGCCGTGGGCCAGTTCCCACTTGCCTCCCCAGAGACGGGGAGAAAAGCAGACCGGGACCTTCATTTTCACGTGCGCCCAGTCTCACGCCATCTGTGCCAGTCGGGGTGGGTCATGAGTGCCACTCAGAAAGACACGCTAGTTTCTTTTGCCTTGTAGAGAAACACTGACCCTATCTTTGTTCTTGTCCCACAGATACGATGCTGCCTCTTGTGTTTAACCATCGGAGCGGCTACAATTTTCTGTGCTGAGATCATTCTGGAAACGCAAACGCTAGACTTCAGCATTGAAGGGAAGCCAAAGTCATCAGAGGGGGGATAAGCCAAGAGCCTTTCTTTGAACAAACAAATAAGTTCCAAAAATTTCGCTGCCCCCTCCCTACGCGCCCCCCGCCCCCCGCCCCCAAAGAAGCCATTGCACACAGGCAGGCAGCATGGCGAGCAAGCGGAAATCTACCACCCCGTGCATGGTTCGGACGTCACGGGTGCTAGAACACGATGTGCCCGAGGAAGGGGACAGGGCCAAAGGGAAAGGGACCAGCACGCCGCAGCCTGAAATGGCCAGCTGGGCAGCGGAACCTGAACACTCTTCCAAAGAAAACGAAGTGATGGAGGTGAAGTCAACGGGCGAGAACCCATCCAAAAAGCTCCAAGGCGGTTATGAGTGCAAGTACTGCCCCTACTCCACCCAGAACCTGAACGAGTTCACGGAGCACGTGGACCTGCAGCACCCCAACGTGATTCTCAACCCCCTCTACGTGTGCGCTGAATGTAACTTCACAACCAAAAAGTACGACTCCCTGTCTGACCACAACTCCAAGTTCCATCCCGGGGAGACCAACTTCAAGCTGAAGCTGATCAAGCGCAATAATCAAACTGTCCTGGAGCAGTCCATCGAAACCACCAACCATGTCGTGTCCATCACCACCAGCGGCCCCGGGGGCGGGGACGGGGACCCTGGGATCTCAGTGAGTAAGACTCCCATCATGAAGCCAGGGAAACCGAAAGCGGATGCCAAGAAGATGCCCAAGAAGCCCGAGGAGGCCGCAGCCGAGAACCACGTGGAAGGGACCGCCCGCCTGGTGACAGACGCAGCTGAGATCCTCTCGAGACTCGGAGGTGTAGAGCTGCTGCAGGAGTTAGGACACGTCATGCCTTCTGTCCAGCTCCCACCAAATATCAACCTTGTCCCCAAGGTCCCCGTCCCATTGAATACTACCAAATACAACTCTGCCCTGGACACAAACGCCACCATGATCAACTCCTTCAACAAGTTTCCTTACCCGACCCAGGCAGAGCTGTCCTGGCTGACAGCTGCGTCCAAACACCCTGAAGAGCACATCAGAATCTGGTTTGCCACCCAGCGCCTAAAGCACGGTATCAGCTGGTCCCCAGAGGAAGTGGAGGAGGCCCGGAAGAAGATGTTTAATGGCACCATCCAGACAGTGCCCCCGACAATCACTGTGCTGCCCACCCAGCTGGCCCCCACAAAGATGTCACAGCCCATCCTCCAGACAGCTCTACCCTGCCAGATCCTCGGCCAGACCAGCCTGGTGCTGACGCAGGTGACCAGCGGGTCAACCACGGTCTCTTGCTCCCCCATCACGCTTGCTGTTGCCGGGGTGACCAACCATGGCCAGAAGAGACCTTTAGTGACTCCCCAAGCTGCCCCTGAGCCCAAGCGCCCACATGTCACTCAGGTGCCAGAGCCCCCGCCCAAGGTGGCCAACCCTTCGCTGACCGCAGCCAGCGACCGCAAGAAGACAAAGGAACAGATAGCCCATCTGAAGGCGAGCTTTCTCCAGAGCCAGTTCCCCGACGACGCTGAGGTCTACCGACTCATCGAGATGACGGGCCTTGCCAGGAGCGAGATCAAGAAGTGGTTCAGTGACCACCGGTATCGGTGTCAAAGGGGCATCGTCCACATCACCAGCGAATCCATTGCCAAAGACCAGATGGCCCTTGCGAACTCCCGACATGGTCGCACGTACCACGCCTACCCAGACTTTGCCCCACAGAAGTTCAAAGAGAAAACACAGGGTCAGATTAAAATCCTGGAAGACAGCTTTTTGAAAAGCTCTTTTCCAACCCAAGCGGAACTGGACCGGCTGAGGGTGGAGACCAAGCTGAGCAGGCGGGAGATCGACTCCTGGTTCTCGGAGCGGCGGAAGCTCCGGGACAGCATGGAGCAAGCCGTCTTGGATTCCATGGGGTCTGGCAAAAAAGGCCAGGATGGGGTAACCCCCAACGGTGCTCTGTCTCGACTCGACCAGCTCTCCAGTGCCCAGCTGGTCAGTTCTCTGCCCAGCCCTTCACCAGCAATTATAAAAAGTGAAGAACAGGTTCATCTCCTGAGGAGCACGTTTGCAAGAACCCAGTGGCCCACACCGCAGGAGTACGACCAGTTGGCAGCAAAGACTGGCCTGGTTCGAACTGAAATCGTGCGTTGGTTCAAGGAGAACAGGTGCTTGCTGAAAACTGGGACCTTGAAGTGGATGGAGCAGTACCAGCAGCAGCACGTGGCGGAGGACCACGGCTACGACACCCTGTCCAGGAAAGCCGCCAAAGCCGTCGTCACCGACAGCCCAAAGAACGGGAGCGAGGTGGGTCCGCAGTACCCCAAGGACCCCAAAAAGCTCTGCGAGGAGGACTTGGAGAAGTTGGGGCCCAGGGTGAAAGTGGGCAGCGAGCCAGCAAAGGACAGTTTGCCGGCAAAGCCCTCAGAGGCCACCTTGGACAGGTCAGAGGGCAGCAGCCGAGATGACCAGGGCAGCGACGAAAACGAGTCAGGCGTTGTGGACTGGGTGGAGGTGACGGTCGGGGAGGAAGACGCCACCTCTGACCGCTCGGACAGCTGGAGTCAGACCGCCGCCGAGGGCACCGCGGAGCTGGCCGACTCGGACTCCGACAGTGTCCCTGCCGAGGCTGGCCAGGCCTGAACAGGTAATGCCACCTGCTCCCCGGGCAACTAGGGGAGGGTGCCGGTTTTATTTCTCTTTGTTGCCAGAGTCGATAGAGTTTGTAGGGTATAGAGATATTGACAAAGATGATGGGTTCTTTTTTTTTTTTAAGGAAGAAAAACAGGACTTGTAGATTTCACGTACTTATTTGAAAGGCCGTGTGATGGGCAGCACTGTGGCATGCGTGGGCACCACCCGTGGGGCCTGTCCATTCTCAAGTCTGGTGGCAGTTTTAACCGGCTGTGGTGTGTTCGCTGCAAGAAAGAAAAAAGGGAAAAAAAGCAGGAAAAGGATATGTCTTGTCCTTTTCCTTTCTTTTTGGATTTTCGAAGCATTAAGTATCTAAGTTTACGGGCTATAGATTTGGGGTCGTTTCTATTGGCCTGAAAGGTTTGGGTATTTGCCTTGTCATGGTGAAGAGAAGGTGCCCTGTGTGTCTCATTAAGTGACCCTGCCCCTAGCTCTGCTGATTGGGTCCCAAAACCCCTTGGAATCTGGAAGAGACTGGTGTAAATTAGGCCTGTGGAGCCACAAAGGCCTGGGAAGGGAGGTTACCATGGTTACTAATGGCCATGTCATCCACATAATGGGACATGCCACCCAAGCCCTTGGTGTTTGTGCTTCACAAGAGGTCCGTGCAAATCAAGGCCTAACGCACAGCAGCTTGCTTGGTGGTGCACTTAGAAAAGGGGGTCAGGGGTACGGATGGGGTAATGGGGAGAAGGACACAGGAGGGAAAGATCCACCTTGGCCAAAGCACGAAAGCCACCCCCCACTCACACTCACACACACACACACACACACACACGTGCGCATGTCACCATTAAAAATAAAGGTAAGGACTTCCAGAATGACTGATAAGGTCCCAAAGGGAGCCCTGGAAATTACCGTGCCTCTTTGTTAATGAATTTGGACAGCTTTGGCTGGCCATGTCACTCATTCATTTGTGTATTCGGTAATAAAATGAGGCACCTGGCAAAAAAAATGAAGCCTTCTAGAAACCTTGTTTCAGCCAGTTCCATGGGCTGTGAAAAGAGCAGTTTAATGAGCAGCCAATCACAGAATGCCATGGAGTCGTCCTCGCAGCCAATCACAGAATGCCATGGAGTCGTCCTTGCAGCCAATCAGAATGCCATGGAGTCGTCCTCGCAGCCAATCACAGAATTCCATGGAGTCGTCCTCGCAGCCAATCGCAGAATGCCATGGAGCCCTCCTCCCACTTTTCAGGAGGACTGGTGATGTGTTGTGGATGAGGATGCCGCCCAGAGGGGAGGGCGCGACAGGAGGAGGGCTAAAGGCTACCGGTGTCACCAGTAGCACCCACTACACACCTCCGGCTGGCTCCCTGGGTTCTGTCCTCCCCCTACCACGTTCTTGCAGAGCCCTGCCTGTCTGGCCCCTCGCTACCTCGTTGAAATGGCGGAGTAATGGTTCCTGCCCAATTAGAATCTGCCCTAGCTTTCCCTGTCTTCTGTCCTTGACCTTTTCGGATACATAAGTCTACATGATTGCTCCCGACAGTAGTTCCGTTCAATTCAACAAATGCTCCCTGAACACCTACTGTGTGCCAGCCACCGTGCTAGGCACTGGAGCTAACCTGATGGAGAAGACACATGGCAGAGTCCTTGTTCACATGGAGCGCAGTCAGGCCAAGGAGGGAGGAGACTGGTCTCCCCTTCACTAGCCATGGTGATCCGTGGTATGGTGGAGATGTCAACAGCTATGTGTAGGGGCATACAGGAGGGGCGCCCAGGCTGCAGGTCAGGGAAGGCTTCCTGGAGGAAGAGACATCTGACTCAGGGGCTGGCTGATGACAAGGGTTTAGCCAAGTACACAGACAAGGAAAAGAGTGGTTGATGGGGAAGAAACAAACAAGGCAAAGGTCTAGAGACAAGAAAATGGTAAAGTTGAGAAACCAAAAGAGGTTTGGCGTAGCCCTGGCTGGTTTGGCTCAGTGGTTGGAGCGTGCGCCCCTGGACCAGAGAGGCCTGGGTTCGGGGCACATACCTTGGTTGCAGTTTGTCCCCATCCCTGGTTGGGGTCGTGTGGGTGGCAACCACTCGATGTGTCTCTCTCACATCAATGTTTCTCTCTCTTCCTCCCTCTCTCCCTCCAGCTCTGTCTGAAGATAAATGCAAAAATGTCCTTGGGTGAGGATAAAAAAAAAAAGAGTTTTGGCATAGACTGAAAGTTAGGTTTGGGGATCCAGTGAACAATGAGAAATGGCAAACGACAAGAACACCCAAAGGTTCCCACAGCTGGCAGAGCTATTCTGAACTAATTGTACCGCCGAGTGTAGGATGATACGTCCCCGTCTCCGAGTGAGCCAGGCGGTGCTTGCAGATGTCCCTGAATGGGAGGCCGCCTGGGGAGGCAGCTCTCCAGGGGCCCCTGCAGCCGCCTGTCCCCAGCCCCTCTGTCCCATGCTGCCACCACCAAGAGTGGAAACACCCCTCTGGCTCAGCTGCCGCTGTGTCCGACTGTCACTCAGGCGCAAGGGAAGCAGAAGACGAAGCTGTGCTGAAACCATAAACAGAAGCTTTGGAAAGAAAGGGCGGGGAGGTGGGAAGGTAGAACAGGGCCTCCTGAGTGACGGAAGCTGAGCCAGGTGCTCCGGCCACAGACGGTCTTATCCAGTTCCCTTAGCGAGCCTGAGAGAGAAGTTCTCTCTATTTTTATAACCCAGACACTGAGACTCAGAAACCAAGGAACTCACCCCCATTCCCCAGCCAGCACCTTGGTGTCACTCCAGAGGCTCACTCTTCCCGTGTCACCTCTGCCTCTTTATTTCAATGTCTAGTCCCCATTTCCGGTGGACCCCCACCCCCAGTGGCGGGAATGAGGGGATCCCTAGGGTTTTCGGAGCTGACTTTTGAATTAACATTAGATAACTCAGAGACGTAGAAACCAGCTGTCTCCCAAAAGAACCAGGAACACCCAGGAACACTTTTTTATGTTTATTTACGGTGAATGCCACCGGTGTGCTCTGTCAAATATTCCTAAACAGGATGCTAAGGTCCACTCAATACCTGGTGACATCTGTGATCCCTGGTTGGCTTCCTGATATTTCAGAGGTGCCGTCGCATTCAGAAAGGGGGTGCCGTCTGCCCTGGTGGCGGCATCCCGGACCCTTTAACTTAGAGAGAAAAAAGGTTAAGTGGAAATCGGCTGGAAGGAGAGAAGGGCCCGAACATTCCAACAGAGAAACAACATATCCAGAGGCCCCCCTGGCTCCTTCTGTCTTGAGCCTCCCTGGGAGCAGCCTTGGGGGAAACTTACCTGGCGTATATGTCTCAGCCGTTTCCCCAACCCCAGAGGCTCCCCCAAACTGCTGCAGGGAAAGCGGCCTGTGTGGGGAGGGTCTGGGTGGTGTGGACTTTGCCCTGTCTGCTGGGGAATGGCTTAACCCCTGTCCCTGCGCCCTATTTTCCTCATCTCAGTTCTAATTAAATCCAGGCCAGGCCCCCTCTTATAAAAGGCAACTCGGCTCAGAAATGTGATTGAGAGATAATAAATCACTATCGCAGGGCTTGTTTTCTTTTCCCGTGGAATACAGTGATATTCTCTCGAGGCTGAAGGCTTTGGGAAATCCCTGCGGGGACAATGAAAGAGAAACAGAAACAGAAATCTATGGCATGGGGAAGGAATCCTAATTGTTTCGTGTTTCCACAGCAGGCAAAGGAAGAGAGAAACAGATTTTGCTAGAGAATTCGTTCTTTTCAGCATTCCAGGTGGCCCCCAAGATAGAAGGGGACAGCTGTGGGAGGCAGTGGGTCCCCGGCCCCGCGGTGTCCCGGGAGAGAGGGACATCCACGTGGTAGGAATGTCTGAATAGTGGCTCTAAGGAAGTGGGCCCGATGACTTTGCAGTTTCCTCCCAAAGCTGAGACCTGGTGCTCTCGGGTCAGGTGACCCATCAGGTCCTTGGCTGTTTGCAGTGCGGAATGTCTGTGAGCAACAGGTAAGATTCTGGGTAGAAACCCAGGAGGTTAAAACAAAAAACAAACCCCCCAAAAAAAGAGATTAGCAAGAGGCCATATAGTCAAAATCGCTGAGATGCTCTTTAAAAAACAAACCAGCCCTGAAATGTGAGCTTATCCTGAGTGGGCCACACACAGTTCGGGTAGTGGGCAGCAGGGGGCCCCAGTGAGCACCTCAGGCACCGTCCATGTTCTCAGGGGCCTCACAGGACGTACAATTAGCCAGGCAACTAAGGACGGGGACACTCAACAAACAGAACTGATGGCACCTGGGACGAGGCCTTTCGGGGAAGTGGCCTGCAGGCTGGGCATTGCTGCCCAGGGGAAGGGATGGGGCCCAGATGAGCCCTGCTTCTGCTTCCTCTTCGCTGTGAGGGGGCTGCAGGCCCCAGCCCAGTCCTGCCCCAGCCCAGTCCTGCCCAAGCCCAGCCCTGCCCCAGCCCAGTCCTGCCCCAGCCCAGTCCTGCCCCAGCCCAGCCCTGCCCCAGCCCAGCCCTGCCCCAGCCCAGTCCTGCCCCAGCCCAGTCCTGCCCACAGCCCAGTCCTCCCCCAGCCCAGTCCTGCCCCGGCCCAGTCCTGCCCTCCCTCAGCCCAGTCCTCCCCCAGCCCAGTCCTGCCCCAGCCCAGTCCTGCCCTCCCTCAGCCCAGTCCTGCCCCAGCCCAGTCCTGCCCCAGCCCAGCCCTGCCACAGCCCAGTCCTGCCCCGGCCCAGTCCTGCCCCGGCCCAGTCCTGCCCCGGCCCAGTCCTGCCCCCCCGCAGCCCAGCCCTGCCCCAGCCCAGTCCTGCCCCAGCCCAGTCCTGCCCCAGCCCAGTCCTGCCCACAGCCCAGTCCTGCCCCAGCCCAGTCCTGCCCCAGCCCAGCCCTGCCCCAGCCCAGTCCTGCCCCAGCCCAGTCCTGCCCCAGCCCAGCCCTGCCTCAGCCCAGTCCTGCCCCAGCCCAGTCCTGCCCCAGCCCAGTCCTGCCCTCCCTCAGCCCAGTCCTGCCCTCCCTCAGCCCAGTCCTGCCCCAGCCCAGTCCTGCCCCCAGCCCAGTCCTGCCCCAGCCCAGTCCTGCCCCAGCCCAGTCCTCCCCCAGCCCAGCCCTGCCCCAGCCCAGCCCTGCCCCAGCCCAGTCCTGCCCACAGCCCAGTCCTGCCCCGGCCCAGTCCTGCCCACAGCCCAGTCCTGCCCCAGCCCAGTCCTCCCCCAGCCCAGTCCTGCCCCAGCCCAGTCCTGCCCCAGCCCAGTCCTGCCCACAGCCCAGTCCTGCCCCGGCCCAGTCCTGCCCACAGCCCAGTCCTGCCCCAGCCCAGTCCTGCCCACAGCCCAGTCCTCCCACAGCCCAGTCCTGCCCCAGCCCAGTCCTGCCCCAGCCCAGTCCTCCCACAGCCCAGTCCTGCCCCAGCCCAGTCCTGCCCACAGCCCAGTCCTGCCCCAGCCCAGTCCTGCCCCAGCCCAGTCCTGCCCCAGCCCAGCCCTGCCCCAGCCCAGTCCTGCCCCAGCCCAGTCCTGCCCACAGCCCAGTCCTCCCCCGGCCCAGTCCTGCCCCGGCCCAGTCCTGCCCACAGCCCAGTCCTGCCCCAGCCCAGTCCTCCCACAGCCCAGTCCTGCCCCAGCCCAGTCCTGCCCACAGCCCAGTCCTGCCCCAGCCCAGTCCTGCCCCAGCCCAGTCCTGCCCCAGCCCAGTCCTGCCCACAGCCCAGTCCTCCCCCAGCCCAGTCCTGCCCCGGCCCAGTCCTGCCCACAGCCCAGTCCTCCCCCAGCCCAGTCCTGCCCCAGCCCAGCCCTGCCCCAGCCCAGTCCTGCCCCAGCCCAGTCCTGCCCACAGCCCAGTCCTCCCCCAGCCCAGTCCTGCCCCGGCCCAGTCCTGCCCACAGCCCAGTCCTGCCCACAGCCCAGTCCTGCCCACAGCCCAGTCCTGCCCCAGCCCAGTCCTCCCACAGCCCAGTCCTGCCCCAGCCCAGTCCTCCCCCGGCCCAGTCCTCCCCCGGCCCAGTCCTGCCCCGGCCCAGTCCTGCCCCGGCCCAGTCCTGCCCCCCCGCAGCCCAGTCCTGCCCCAGCCCAGCCCTGCCCCAGCCCAGTCCTGCCTCAGCCCAGTCCTGCCCCGGCCCAGTCCTGCCCCAGCCCAGTCCTGCCCCCCCGCAGCCCAGTCCTGCCCCAGCCCAGTCCTCCCCCAGCCCAGTCCTGCCCCAGCCCAGCCCTGCCCCAGCCCAGCCCTGCCCCAGCCCAGTCCTGCCCCAGCCCAGTCCTCCCCCAGCCCAGTCCTGCCCCAGCCCAGTCCTGCCCCAGCCCAGTCCTGCCCTCCCTCAGCCCAGTCCTGCCCCGGCCCAGTCCTGCCCCCCCGCAGCCCAGTCCTGCCCCAGCCCAGTCCTGCCCCAGCCCAGTCCTGCCCCAGCCCAGTCCTGCCCTCCCTCAGCCCAGTCCTGCCCCGGCCCAGTCCTGCCCCCAGCCCAGTCCTGCCCCGGCCCAGTCCTGCCCCGGCCCAGCCCTGCCCCGGCCCAGTCCTGCCCCCAGCCCAGTCCTGCCCCGGCCCAGTCCTGCCCCGGCCCAGCCCTGCCCCGGCCCAGCCCTGCCCCAGCCCAGTCCTGCCCTCCCTCAGCCCAGTCCTGCCCCAGCCCAGTCCTGCCCCAGCCCAGTCCTGCCCTCCCTCAGCCCAGTCCTGCCCCAGCCCAGTCCTGCCCCAGCCCAGTCCTGCCCTCCCTCAGCCCAGTCCTGCCCCAGCCCAGTCCTGCCCCCAGCCCAGTCCTGCCCCGGCCCAGTCCTGCCCCGGCCCAGCCCTGCCCCAGCCCAGTCCTGCCCCAGCCCAGTCCTCCCCCAGCCCAGTCCTGCCCCGGCCCAGTCCTGCCCTCAGCCCAGTCCTGCCCCAGCCCAGTCCTGCCCCAGCCCAGCCCTGCCCTCAGCCCAGTCCTGCCCCAGCCCAGTCCTGCCCCAGCCCAGCCCTGCCCGCAGCCCAGTCCTGCCCCAGCCCAGTCCTGCCCACAGCCCAGTCCTGCCCCAGCCCAGTCCTGCCCTCAGCCCGCAGCCCAGTCCTGCCCCAGCCCAGTCCTGCCCCAGCCCAGCCCTGCCCACAGCCCAGTCCTGCCCCAGCCCAGTCCTGCCCCGGCCCAGTCCTGCCCTCCCTCAGCCCAGTCCTGCCCCAGCCCAGTCCTGCCCCAGCCCAGCCCTGCCCGCAGCCCAGTCCTGCCCCAGCCCAGTCCTGCCCCAGCCCAGTCCTGCCCACAGCCCAGTCCTGCCCCAGCCCAGTCCTGCCCTCAGCCCACAGCCCAGTCCTGCCCGCAGCCACACACCCTGAGAAAGGCCAAAGGAGAATCGAAGTCTAGCTGCTTCCACAGACATGGGGGATCTCTGCAAAAGCCAAAAAAGAAATAGTGGCTGCCCCCCTTTTCCGGGCACCCCTTGGTCTTGCAATCTGGTATATGCGTGTGTTTTTGGAGGGAGAGGATTTTTTCCAAAGACCTTGTTCAGCATTTTCTCTTTATTAATGCATAAGGATGATTATGCATGTTCATGTCTATAAGAAATTATACAGGGAGCCTGACAGGTGTGGCTCAGTGGATTATGCATTATGAGAGGTCCTGGTTCGATTCCCGATTCCCGGTCAGGGCACATGGCCAGTTTCCATGCTGGATCCCCAATAAAAACATTTAAAAAAAAACATTACTCAGGGAATCAGGAAAACTCATTGTGAGACAGAGAACCACCTTAGTTTTGAGGTTTATCTAAAAAAGTGAGAGTTTCTGCCAATCACTTGAAGAGACAGGGATCAGCTTTGTTTATGAGGGAGAAAATGTGTGCACTCTCACACACGTGTGCATGCACATACAAACACATGCATGTGCACACACACGCACACCTGACTTTGCTGACCCTAAGGCCCTGACTCTACACCTGCCCTTCCTCGGGGACAAATGAAGCGGTATTTCCGACGCACCTCCTGTTTGCACGGCCCCTCCAGCCCACCGGGCAGCCCGGCAGTTATGAGTTACGGGAGTGAGGCTGGGGGAGCCTAACTGGCCTGGGCACGCAGCTGGGTGGGCGGGCCTGGACCCAGCTCTCCGGTTCAGGGAAGGAAGAACAGTGGCTGTCCAGCCACCTGGGCCTCGTTTCCTGGAGCCTCGAGAACTGTTCAGGTGGACATCGAACCGGGGGCAGTTTCCTTTCCAAAGACAGCGAGAGACCCTGTTTGCTGGGGAAAAGCCTGTTCCTTGGGGATCCAGGGGAGGCTGCTGTGCCCCGTGTACCCCCCAGGGGGCCGTGAGGCCGTGCACGGGACCGCCAGCCCCTGCCTTTAAACGGGTGAGCTGTCCCCTGCAGCGTGGTGACTCCATGCGGAGCGGCTGTGTGCGTAGGGCTCGGGCTCGGTGTGGGGAGCAATTCATTGGGCTGGCCAAGGTGGAATCTGATGGAGGCTTCAACCTCCATTTGGGGGGACACAATTCAACTCATAACAAGGTCCTTGGACTACTTTCTTCACTTCAAAGTATGTAAGACTTGAACGTTGCTCCATGCTGACTCTTAGTAAGCACCGTCCCTTCGTTAAGAGCGCAGGCTCTGCAGGGCGCCTGGGTTTGACTCTTGGCCCCGCCGCCTACTAACCGTGTGATCTCGGGCAAGTCGTTTAACCTCTCTGTGCTCAGTGTCCTCGCCTGTGAAATGGGAATATTAATAATACCAACACCACTGGAGGCTGATATAAATGTTAAGTTGAAAATGCACTTTAAGTGTCCCACCTTGTTATGTGACGATTACACGTCCCGCCGTGTTTGGGAAGGCCCCATGTGGCGGTAACCATGAAGGCATGTGCACCGATACCGGGCACCGCTCCCAGCGCGGCCGCCTATACCGGCTTGTCTAATCACAGCGCGGTGGGGGATGCCGCTGTCGTTAGTCTCACAGACGGGAACACGAAGCCCCAGACAGAGGGAGTCACAGGTGCACAGCCTCAGGGCCAGTAAGCAGGCAAGGTCAGAACCAGAACCTCCACTGGTCGGAGTCCGGAACCTTTTATCTTTTTTTTAAAGCGTGGGAGGGAGAGAGGAAGCAAGAGAGAAAGAGAAACATCGATGTGAGAGAGACACATCAATTGGTTGCCACCCACACGACCCCAACTGCAACCGAGGTACATGACTTTAGCGGGAACCGAACCCAGGACTCTATGGTCCGCAGGCCGATGCTCTAACCGCTGAGCCAAACGGGCCAGGGCTGGAGTCCGGAGCCTTTTAGGAGCCAGTGTACAGGAATAACAAAGGGGTCTTTAATGATGAAAGGAATCACCTCCCCTACTCCCCAGAAAGCCACCCTGGTTAGAGATGCTCCCCCTAACCTCACGTTGTGCTCAGGAAACACTTTAAAACGGGCCCCAAACTTGAAGGGTGTTTGTCTCTCCTCCCATCCCCCCACCCGTGGCTTTGGAAGGGGTGATTCCTAGGAGAGTTGGTACGAGCAACCCCTGCCGCCTTCCACTGTCTCTGACGTCTTGTCTCTGGTTTTGTGTCATCTTCTAGGGAAGTCGTCGGAACGGCTGTGCTGATACAGGGGACGCTCTGTCTCTGAAGAGAGGAGAGAACTTCCCTCCCGGGCCTGCGGTGGGCCACCTGGCCAGAGGCTCCCAAGCAGAACTACTTAGCTGGCCTGTCCCTGCAGGGCCGGGCACCCAGCCGCATCCCAGGCGCCTCCCAGAGGACCGGTGGGAATTGTTCATCGTGCCAAAGTCCTACTACTGCGTTTCCCGTGGGTCCTTGTAAATAGTTGGCTCCTCTGCCCTGTCCCCCACCTCTTGCTCTACTGGACGATGCGGGAATTTTGCTACCTTTTTAATCGAGGGCAATTTCCATCTCCAGCATTACCATCGGAAGGTTTTTCCCAGGAGGGAAGGGCTGATCTCGTGTGCTTTCTTTCTTTCTTTCCTTTTTAATTTTTATTTTATTAATTTGGGGGAGGGAGTAATGTTAGCATTAGTGCCATCATATCTACTGGACTTTAGGTAGGGAGAGTTCGTTTTTAAAGGTAGTTTGACATTTGGGAGATTTCTCCAGGAGAAGGCATCGGTCTGAACTTGGAGAGAGTTTACAGATGGCAGATCTCCGGAATAAAATCCATTTCCACTTCTTGCCCCAGCCGCCTCCGGGGTCCCTGGGTAGCCACGCACGGGGCTTTCTGAACGGCCTCTTCGAGGGCTGGCCTCTTCGAGGGCTGGCCTCTCCGCCAGCCCCGGGGCCCAGCCGGCCCTGGGAGACCCGGGAGCAGGTGGCTGGCGTTATGCAGCACCTTTTCAGAAAGATGCCCACTTTGTTAGCATCATCACGGCTTCTATGAAATTAAAACAAAAAGAGATCTTCCTGTCTAGATGGTACACAGATGAACCATTTTGGTTTCCATTTCTGTTCCTAACTGCCTTTTTTCAGTGTGGTATTTGACAAGATTTCAGCTTGAAGCCTCACCATGAATTGATTTGTTTGTTTGTTTGTTTGTGCGTTTGTTTTGGGCCAATTTTAGATTCCTGAGTGCACTTTTTTTTCCTCCCAGTTAGTCCTAACTTTTAAAGAAGAAAAACCAAGAGACCTATCTGGTGTAAATGTTGCAATATGAATTGTGATTGCAGCCCACCCACCCCACTTGAGTACATTGCACAAAGAAAACGCTAGGGAGTTTGGAAAGAAAACGATTTTTCTAACTTGTTAAAGCTCCTTTGTTGTAACTCAATAAAGCAAAGACTAAACATTTTTATAACCTTTTCCTCTGCTCCTGGTTCTTCATTTCTGTCTGGCCCCCAGGACAAGAGGGTTCCGACCCAGCCATCTCCCGTTTCAAATCCATTACGACCACATTTCTCATTTTCCACCCTGGGGAGGTTGAACATCGCACGTTGGGGCTTTGTAAACACTGTAAATGTTGATGTGGGAACCGCTGTCCTATCTCTTAGACATAAAAATGTAAGTGATAGGCCCTCGCTTCTCCAGAGTCTTTACAAATAGATTCATTAACTACTGCAGAGCCCTGGCCGGGTGGCTCAGTTGGTTGGAGCGTCATTCTGCACACCAAAACGATGAGGCTTCTATCCCTGGTCAGGGCATGTATGGGAGGCAACTGACATGTTTCTCTCTCACATCTATCCCTCTCTCTCTCTCTCTGTCTATCTATCTCCCTTCCTGTCTCTAAAAATCAATAAATATATCCTCGGGTGAGGATTTAAAAAAACACTGCAGAGAAGAGCATCAGAGTGGGAATGAGACCTGCAGGCAATGCCTAGCACCACTGCTTACTCAAGGTGACCTCAGGTAAGTCACTTCCCTCCCTAGGCTGCTGGTGGCTGGTGACTGTCACCTCTCCAAGAAGGCGGGCATTTGTCTCTGCCCAGGTGAGGTTTAAAGAGCCCCTCACTGTCCATGGGTGACACTCATCAAGCCCAGTGGTTTTCAAACCTGGGCAGACACCTGGAGAGCTAGTTAAAGAATCGCCTGGAGCCCTGGCCAGTTTGGCTCAGGGGTTAGAGCACCGGCCTGTGGCCAATGAGTCGCGGGTTCAATTCCGGTCAAGGACATGTACCTTGGTTGTGGTTCATCCTCGGCCCTGGTGAGATCGTGTGACACAGATAGAGCCAGTTGATGTGGCTCTATCACACTGATGTTTCTCTCTGTCTCTCTGTCTCTCTGTCTCTCTGTCTCTCTCTCTCTCTCTCTCCCTCCCTCCCACTCCATCTGATGATAAATAGAAAAAAATATATATCCTCAGGTAAGGAATAAAAAAAAGAATAACCTGGAGAGGGGGTTAAAGTTTCTGGCTCAGCAGGTCTGGGTGGGACCGAGAGGGAGCATCACTCACAAGTTCCCCGGTGAGGCTGGTGCTGCTGGTGCCAGGACCCGACTTTGGGAATGTCGAGTTTTGTTTTTACAGGGACTGACAGACTCCTGGCCAGTGCATCTCAACTGAGCATGTGTGAAAAGCATGCATAAGCATGTTCTTCAGATAAGAGAGAGAACCTTTCTTCTCTCCCCGAGACCCAAACACAGGAAGCACGGAAAAAGCAGGGATTCAGAAGAGACTGGTCTTCTCTGGAAGAGGCGCTCAATACTGAGGTCAAATGCTTAGCACCCCTGCCTGACGAGCCATGGGCTGTGGGCTCCAGCTGCCTTGGAGACAGCTGCCCACTAGTCTCTTCCCCCAGACCTCTCACCCCTTCCTCATTCTCTGTCCCTCGGCCCCTGCTTGCCCCCCATCTGTGGCACACTCAGGACGCAAGGATGCCTTCTGCTCAGTGGGATCTGCGCATTCCCCCTCCCACCCCAAAGCTCCTGCTATAGCTACCACACTCCACCTGGGCCACACTGCGAGAGCACGTGGTGTCTCTGTTCAAATGTCACCTGCCCTCCACGACTTCCCATCTGCAGGACCAGGATGAGGTTAAAGTGAGCAAGGCACCTATGGGAGCAAAACTTAAGGAGCCGAGGTCACGCAAATGCCAACCCTGCACTTGCCAAACCCTGAGAGCAGGCACCTCCTTAAGTTTTGTGTCCTAGGTGCCTCACTGGCCTTAGCCTACCCCTGGCCCTCCCTGTCTAACATGCTTTCCTCTAACCCTACTTTATGTTCCTCTGTCTTGCTTTTTACATGTTATACCTATTTGTTTACTGTCTTGTTCATTCCACTCCATTGCAAGATCCCAGCACAGTGGTGGGCACATAGTAAATGCTCCATAAATATCTGTTGAATGAATGGGTGGGTGGGTGGATGGGTGAGTAGATGGATGGATGAGTGGGTGGATGGATGGATGGATAGATGATGGATGGATGGATGGATGGATGGATGATGGATGGATGGATGGATGATGGATGGATGGATGGATGGATGGGTGGATGATGGATGGATGGATGATGGATAGATGGATGATGGATGGATGGATGATGGATGGATGGATGGATGATGGATGGATGGATGGATAGATGATGGATGGATGGATGGATGGATGGATGATGGATGGATGGATGGGTGGATGATGGATGGATGGATGATGGATAGATGGATGATGGATGGGTGGATGATGGATGGATAGATGGATGATGGATGGATGGATGGATGGATGGATGGATGGATGGATGATGGATGGATGGATGATGGATAGATGGATGATGGATGGATGGGTGGATGATGGATGGATGATGGATGGGTGGATGATGGATGGATGGGTAGATGATGGATGGGTGGATGGATGGATGGATAGATGGATGATGGATGGATGGGTGGATGATGGATGGATGGATGGATGATGGATGGATGGATGGATGGATGGATGGATGATGGATGGATGAAGAATTCCAGCTCCGTAGTCAGAGCTGAATGTGAATTCCAGCTCCACTACTGATGAGCCAGGTGAGCTTGTGAGAATTACTTTTCAGGGCCCTAATTCCTCACCTGAGACCTGGAGATGCAGACTAAGTTGTAGGTCCGGTGTGAGGATTCACTGCCCTCATGAATGCAAAGTGCCCGGCACACAGTAGGTGCTCCACCAACACTCCTTCCCTCCTGGCGCTCTGACTGGGATTGGCAACTGGCCAGACCGTGTACTGACTGTGCCCTTCCGCACCCAGACGGGGCATTTGAGGGGAGGGCAGACAGGAGAAAGGAAGCTGGATGCAGGTCTAGGAGATTCATTGCAGACACCATGCCCCTGGCTTTGGAGACTTTGCCATGTGCCATCGATCCTCTCCTTCCCACCCCTTAACCCCCAAGCTCTCCCCTGCCTACCCCCCAAAAAATCTCACCTGCACTTTTCTTATTTAAACACAAATGTGAACGGTGGCTACAGCTGCCTCGTTTCCCGGCCCCTGCCTATCCTCTCCGGTCCCGCTCTCCGCGCTGGACTTCCACAGATCTCGTCCCCCACGTCGTCCTGCCTTCCACCCTTCAGCGAACGCCCCAAAGCCGGCCTCCAGCTGCTCCCCGGGCAGGCAGCTGCCTTCCCCTCCTGCTATTTCCCACCCTCAGCCGCTTGCTACTGTCAAGCAACTGGAAGAAGCTCTTCAAGCAAGGCTATCAAAGGCCCAAAGAAAGCAAAGGGGAAGCCAGCCAAAATGCCGTCTTTGGGTTTTAGCATCCGTACCCGAGAGAAGTGTTGATACCGGTGGCAGTGAAAATACACGGGGAGGACGGCTGTGCTCTTGGAACCACCCAGCAAATGTGCCAAGCTCCCTCTTCTCCATGGGGATGATGCCAGGGTGGCGGGAACCAGGAGAGGGTTCTTGAAAGGGACTGGCTGGGGGACTCCGTGAGCGGAAGAGCGGCGGAGGGGCGAGCAGCGCTGGTTTTGTCTGCCTGCCCCTCTCTGTGCTTCCAGCTCTTGCTCTGGTCCCCTCCTCCCCTCCACTCAGGGTCCTGCCCCTCCCCCGGGCCAGCCACGGCACCCCAGCCATGGCACAGATCTGGGCGCAGTGGGGCGCCGGAGCAGTCAGCCGCTGGAGGAAGGAGCTCCCCAGCCCACTTGGATGGAGACGGTGAGAACATCAGCCTGGAGCCACCTGCCAAAGGCCTGCCTGAGGGGTCTGTGGGCCCAGAGAATGAGGACAAAACATTCAAAAAATAGACAAAGGGGCAATGAAAGGAGAAAGAGATGATTGATTGATTGATTGATTGATTGATGATGATAATGACAACATCATTTGAGTCCCTGACCCTGTCCATCTCTCTCTCTTTTCAGTTTCATAAAAACCACATATTTCTCTTTGTACTTTAGCTACAAACCTTTTGAGCTGGGTTTCTCTCACTAGGAACTCAGTTCTGGTGGGTTGATGAGATTATGATGAGACAAAAACCAACAGAAAGACAATAAATGTAAATAGCCACGTGTGCCTAGTGGCTACCAACTGGAGGCTCGTCCCTAAGTCCTTGCGACCTACTTGTGTTCCCTGCACCAGCAGGAAAAGCATCACCAGGGAGCTTGTTAGAAACTCAGAATCTCTGCCCACCCCTGACCTGTTGAAACAGAATCTGCAATTTGACACCATCCCCCAGTGATTCACAGTTTCATTCAAGTTTAAGAAACCCTGCTCTGAAGGCTTTGCAGGCTCCTCCCCACCTCCGCTACCACACTGGGAGGGTTGGGGTGGGAGGAAGAGGGAGGGAGGTGGGGATCTAACAATACACCGCGGAGCCAGTTTGCTGAGTGTAGACTCCAGTGCCCTGGAAGGCAGAGGCAGGAAGGGGGTGGAGAGGTCCCGTACACCTGCTGTGGCTGCACCTGGCGCCCAGCCACGTCCAGTCAGCAGCTCTCTGGCCTGCACCTGGAGAGAACGGGGGCCAGGTCAGGTCCCTCCTGCTGATTCCCCAAAGCTCCCAGCGAAGCCCCTCCCAGCTGGGCGGACTTGTAAGCCCAGCAGAGACGTGATCATTGAGCGGGGCAGGTGGGGCTGTTGATCAATAAGAAAGACTTCTGACCACATCCTAGATTATGTTGCAAGTCAGGTATCCTGTCCAGTGTGGGCGGCACATTGCCCTCGACACTGAGGAAGAGGGACACAAAGGTGACCATCGGTGACTCCAACACCTTCCCCCCGAACAAGCGACCAAAGCCCGGCAGACTGCCTCCGTCTGGAGCCGAGCAGGAAGGGGACAGGACACTGAAACGGCAGGAAGGGGACAGGACACTGAAACGGGATGATTTGGAGGCAGTGTATTTTATAAAACCACTGCTTACAAAGGAGTGGACAGAGTTTGGGGACAT